GTGGGTCGTTTTGTTACCTTCAGAGCCCACCCCAATGGTCTAGGGTCATGTTCTCTGAAAGCGCTGCCACTATTCTCACCTTGCGATGAGGTTGTTGGCACATCCGGAGCGAACGTCACCCCTGTCACAATTCCCTCCCATTTCCTCCTAACGCGGTCATACATGGACTCACAGTCCACCTCAAGACAGTGCTTGCCCGTGTCCATATGGTTGTCTGCCTCTTCTTGGGTCTTGAACGTGAGGACGCATCCAGTCTCTTACAAGAGTAGATCTCGGACTGGTGCCTGATGCCTCACCCACGCTTCCCCTGTGTGTAGCTTGACCAAATGGCTTTACCACCCTTATTCCAGTATCTCCTTGTGGTGTAACTCCAAGACCGCTATAAGGGATGAGGCGTCCAGGGCCGATGTTGTACGCTTTCCACACACGGATGCCACACTCCTCATACTGGAAATTGTTCAACACACTAATGCCTGGTATCTTGCTATCTTTGTTTCTTTCCCTGGTCGTGTCCACCTCAACGACCGCTGCTCTGCACCCTTTGATACCTCCATGGGATTCTAGTGCTACTTTCATATCTTCAGCAGTGACGACGTCGTGCTTTTCGTTGACCCAGGGCTTTATGTGTGCCTTCATAGCAGCAGTCTTCCTATCACAAATGTCCTTGCCAGCCTGTGGTTCTGAGAAATCATATCGCACTGGCCTGACACCGGTTCTCACCCCTACTTCTCTAAGACTTAACAACAGAGGCTCATTGTGGTAACATCCAGCGTTATCCGATCGGAGGTAGGCTGTTGTCACCCCTGGATACTCCAGTTTGACTTTTTGCAGCACGTCCTCTATTATGGAAAGAACTGCAAAGCTATTTTGGGTGCAGTTGTTGAAAATGTGTACAAAACACTCGACTTCATGCTTGCTCTCCACTGTTGCTCTAGTGATTACTGCACTGATATGCCAGCTTCTTCCTCTCTTGCCAAAAAAATCACTCATGTGTTCTCTGTATTGCACAGGCAGAAACTTCATTGCCCAGTCCATTATAACAAGACACGAGTTGTCGTCTAGCTTCTCGAGAATATGCTGCTTGGCTTCGTCCTGGTTACTTGACCGTAGTAAGTGAGCCTTCCACGCTTGTATGTTGCGCACACTCTCAGTGTACTCAAACCTCCATCTAACCCTCTCCTCTTCCGTCATGTCCGCTTTGTCTTGCATCTCTGCCACTTGTTTCAGTACTCCTTCTAGACTCTCACAGCGCTCACATTCGTAGCAATGTTCATGATCACATTCGCCCCTGAACTTCCATGCACTACTGTCACTTAGTGGGTGGACCGTACAGTGATCACTGCAATGTTCTCCTCGTCCGATGTGTGCCTTGAAATCATTCTTTAAGTACCTTTTTGCATCCTTTAGAAATTTCTGAGTGGCAGTAACGTTGATGCCCTGATCTGCTAAGGCCTCCAACATAGAAAAGAGTTGATCAAAAGCCTCTGTACCCTCTGCAGTGGTGTTGTCAAGTCCCTGAAGGGATTTCTGCATAGAGGCCGAACACACTTGAATCATTCGGTAGAGAGAACGCTGGCTCGCCGGCTCGAACTCTTGTTCTTTACAATAGTCTAAATATTGTCTGATGATGCGTGAAGGAATGACGGTCCTAATGACTGCTGGTATGACAATTTTCTCCCCCGAGTCAAGCTTGAGAGTCTTTGTCCCGAACGCCACGTCTTGGACAAATTCTGGTCTGGAGATATATTCAATGAAATGATCCACCTTTTCATGCTCAATTCTTGTACGGAAACTAGGAATTTCAGGGAGAGGCTGGCCTTTCCCTGCTTCTGTTGCATGTTGGCGAGCTTGGTCGATGCGCCATTTGGAAAGCCCAGGGATCATCTTTTGAAGCTCAGCTCTTGAAAAGTCGTCTGCAAAGAGGGAAAGGATCTGTCGCTTTGTTTGCCAATGACCTGCTTGCTCATAGGCCTTGACTAAAATGTCGACAAGACCAGAGTTGGGATCAAAACGCTTGCGCTTTCCTTGGTTGTCTCTGTTTGGATCCAAAAGTACCTCCGTTTGTAACGCCTTCCAAACCAGTTCCTCTTGACCGGGAGTGATGACAGACAATGAAGTCACTATAGTCTCCTTAGCTTTGCGGATGTAATATCGCTGCTGGGTGTCGGAGACGTCGTCCCAGGTCGTGTTCAGGCTGGACATTACGGGGCTGTAGCGGCCACCTGAGATGCTGTGGACAGCTTCGTTTAATTTCTGCCGTTTGCTGTTTTGTTCCTCCATCTCGTCAACCCATAAACTAATCTCTTCGTCTGGTATCGAGGCTTGGGACGAATGGGATTGTAAAGAGACTGTTTCTGACCCCTCACCAGTGCTTGAGACCACTGCACACACCGTGGCTGGCAATGTGCTCTCCTCACAAACAGTAATGACAGAGACAGTGGCAGAATCAGACTCCTCGATCTCGTCTCCAATCACCAAGGTGTCTGAGTAAGGATCCTGAAGCGTAATAAAATAGATTAGCAAATTATGGACAAGATCGTCAACAATTCCACAAAGATCTCCAATACATGTAACTGTGGAAACTCTATATGTGTTTCCAAGCCGCTGCCAAAGGGTGCCCTCGCATCTTTGTTGTTGCTGGTCTCTTCAAGCACTGGTCAAGACCAATTTGTTATTCAGAAAACATTCAGATGTAGTCGAGTAATTGTTCTCGACGCGCGATCGGAAAACTCTAGACATGGCTATCATTATAACTAGGTCCCAAGCCTCTTGGAAATCGACCACAACTTAACGATTCCAAATGGCTACCCATCGAAGAAAATACAGGAAAACCAACAAAGGTACGTGTTATTCATGTTGTCAGTTGTTATAGATATCAGTGCACCTGTTGGCGGTATCAAAACATCCTCTGATTATATGGTCAGTTACACTATGCTTATATTAGTTACACTAAGCTGTGAATGGCCAATGTGTACTAGCTTACCTGCTCTCCAGACATGAAACCGTGAGCCTTACGGGATTTGTAGTGTGCTCCCCGGCAGCTGGAACACACAGCTGTCATAAAAAATGATAATGATAAATAGATTAACAATACTGACAACAATAACCAACACGATCACCATCAACGTGATTGACCCTTTATACCGTCACCATCGTCGTTATGGTTATCGTTATCATACCCATCATCAATATATATTCGTCACTTTAAATATGGCGGCGTTTAGCTGGCGCTGTTTTAACTTTGTTTACGGTAAATTTAAGTTTAAAATCACCTTAGCATTTAGTAAGATGACCCGTCATTTTGATAACATTGTCTAGGCGATCAGGAATGGGCTGGTAAAGTTTTCTTATTCAATCTAATTCGATCTTCCGCTACACACCCTCGGTTTCACGAAGAAGGTCATTCTTGGTAGCGATATTTTCAGTGGACTTTTGTAACTCTCTCTTGATGTAAAGCCAAACATTTTCTATTATATTTAAATCTGGAGACTGTGCTGACCATTTCATTAAGGGTACTTTGCTTTATCTTTATAATTATTTACATTGTGTGCTCCGCTGTGAACTGGTGTATTGCCATCCATGAACATGTAGTCTTTGTCTTCTAAGTACTAAACAACTACTGGCCATACATTATTTTCTAGGATGTCAATGTACTTGGCAGAGTTGCTGTTGCCTTCAACTGAAGTCACACTTCCAACACCATCATATCAAAAACATCCCCAGATCATCAAATTTGTCTTTTGCTCCACCTGTGATAGTCGTTCTTAGAATGTTCAACAGTCTTGACAGTTCAGCTTTGTTTTTAACGGATTCTGACAAAGTAACAATTAACTTTTTTGTCTCTGCAGACAGTTAAGCACTTTTTCGACTCACGAGTGCTGAATATTGTTTATCAGAAGCAAAACAAAATAACTGTGATCTTTTTTTGCGACCACCCGTTGCAGTTACTGTTGAATAAATGACTGAACGATGTGTCAAAACACAAACAGCTTTTGTTCATTTCCTTATGGGAAGTTTGAATTTTTTTTCTTGCTCTTAGTCGGATGTTTGTTTCTTTTTGTTTTTACATAATTTTCCCGCCTTTATTGACCGATGTCGCGCTCCGCATCTAGTTTTCCCCCGCGTAGTGTGCACAACGCGGGTAAGAATTTCAGCGTTATTTTTGAAAGTGACGAATACTTATGTCCATTGACTGTAGTTTGTGTCACTCACGTAAGACCAAATTAAAGTGCGGTAATTTGCTTTCTTAACAGCTAAAGAAAGGAAGGTGAGTGAAATAAGGAGTGTTTGGGCGTCCCTTGCAGCCCCACCCAACTTCCCATTCCCTCTACTCCCCCTCCTAGTTCTCCTCTTCCCCCGTCCTCTCCCATTTGGCGTCATCTTGCAGGCGGGGTGCTTGATTAGCAAATTACCACTTCAATCCACCTCGAAACACTACCCCAACGTCCTCTCTCCCTCCCCTTTTCCGAAAAAGTCAGAAGGATATCAGACAATGCAACAGAATTAGGCAATGCCTTTGTATATTTAAACGAGTCGACTAAAAGAGAAAAGCTCATTCAAATACAAAAAGCAATGGCATCGGATTACGTTTTGCTTCATTCCCTTAGCATATACCGATAAAGAAATAAAATTTATGTACTAACCATATCCATAAGCACAAAGTAAAATAAGTACCTTCGAAATAAAGGTTTCGTTTGTATTTACCAGTGAAGTCCATACTACAACTCTAAGTATTAAGGCTGCGGTCTGGCTGCACCCGATTTGTACTTACCCGAGCCAATGGGAACTGTGGCTTGGTGAAATTGATAAATTTCTTCCGACAAGGTGGCGTTTCTGGCGGCGCGGTTTCTTTATAGTTTTCAGCGGTCCTCGATGACTTGGATACGAGCATGTGTTGCTCTTTCTGCCAGCCCAGTCTGTAGTTAGTTTTTCCTGTGTCTCGGGCATATTGTCATTGACATTTTCTCGTTATCGGTTGTAACAAAGTATCCAGCTCTATT